ATCTCAAACCCCTGAGCTCAAGCAATTCCCCCACCTTGGACTCCCAAACTGCTGGGATTACAGGCATGTACCACCATGCCTGGCCTCATCCATTCCTTTATGTATCCAACCAATTACTTCAATATTATAATCTAATTGATTCCAGGTACAGTGCTAGGCACTGAGGCATAAAGAAGTAAACAGGGTAGGCAACGCCCTGCTCTCATGGAGAGATAAACCTTTAAATAATCAAATAAGAAATATGTTATTAATTATTTAATGTGACTGTGCAAAGGATATGGGGTAGGTTGAATGACTGGCTCCAATTCTCCACCCCTCTGTGTATCAAGTTTTTCATTACAACATTGCAATCCCTCTCACCCATGGACTTTGGCAAATTTGGGCACTGTTTTGGCCAATGAGATGTGAGCAGTCATGACATAAGCAAGAATTTTAAACGAGCTTGTACGAGGAGGCTTGCCCTCTTATACTTTAGCCATAGCCATGAGAACATACCCTGCCTAGCCTGCTGATCCCAGGAGATGAATGAGAAGTGGAGGAGAGCTGAGCCACCAACCCATGAATGAAATAAATACTTACTATTGAATATCACTGAGATTCTGTGCTATTTTTGCTGTTGTTACACAGCAATAGCTTAACAATGTGGAGCATGATTAGAGACAATGAGACAGGAAGGTAGACAATAGAGAAAGACTGAATTTAGATGGAGGAGAAGAGATGAGTCAGTTTCTCTGAAAAAGAAATATTAAAACAGAAATATGAGTAACTCATAGATAAAACAAGAATGCAAAAGTGGGGAGGAGAGCTTCACAGGCAGAGGGAACAGCATGTGCAAAGGCCCTGAGGTTAGGAGGAGCAAGATGCATTCCAAAAATTCAAAAAAGGCCAGGGAGCAAGGGAGAATGTGGTAGCGGATGATGAGATCAGAAAGGAAGTTGAGTAAAGGACCATGCAGACATATGGCATAACATAAAGTTGGCATTTTATCTAAGGGTAGTGGGAAGCTAATGAAGGGTGTTAAGCATAGCAGCACCTGATAAAAATTCCTTCTGCTGTTGAGTGAATAATGGATTGGGGGGAGGACAAGAGTGGGGAAAGGGATGCAGGGAGGAGGCTGCTGCAGCCACCAAAGTGGCAGTGTTGGCCCAGGATTGGCAGAGTACTGTAGAGATAGAGAAAAGGCAGGGTGTAGTGGCTCACGCTTGTAATCCCAACACTTTGGGAGGCCAAGATGGAAGGATTTACTGAGGCCAGGATTTCAAGACCAACCTGGCCAACATAGCAAGACCCTATCTCTATAAAAGAGAGAGAGAGAAAAGGGGACAAATCTGAAAGGTACTTTGAGTGTAAAGGTAGCAGGACTTGTTCCAAAAATAGGCCTACATACACATGTCAGTGGATTTTTGAAAAACGTGCCAAGTCAGTTCAATGGAGAAAGAAGGCAGAAAAGAGAGAAAAACCTCAATCCATAGTTTGTACCATAATTAAAAATTAATTCAAGGCCAGGCGTGGTGGCCCACAACTGTCATCCAAGCACTTTGGGAAGCCAAGGTGGGTGGATCACCAGAGGTCAGGAATTCAACACCAGCTTGACCAACATGATAAAATCCACATCGCTACTAAAAAAAAAAAAAAAATCAAAAAAAAAAAAAGACAAAAATTACGCCAGGCATCGGTAGTCACATGCCTATAATCGCCAACTGCTCGGAGGGCGTGAGACACGAAGAATCGCTTGAACTCTGGAAGGTGGAGGTTGGCAGTAAAGCCAAGGATCACGCCACTGCCACCCAGCCCTGGGTGACACAAGCAAAGATTCCATGCCCCAAATAAATAAATAAATAAATAAATAACTCAAAGTTCAGTCATAAGTGGACTTCACTGATATCGTTTAATTTCTTTTTTTTTTTTTTTTTTTTTTTTTGGAGACGGAGTCTTTGCTCTGTCGCCCAGGCTGGCAGTGCAGTGGCCGGATCTCAGCTCACTGCAAGCTCGCCTCCCGGGTTTACGCCATTCTCCTTCTCAGCTCCCAAGTGCTGGGACTACAGGCGCCCGCCACCACGCCCGGCTAGTTTTTTGTATTTTTTAGTAGAGACGGGGTTTCACCGTGTTAGCCAGGATGGTTTCGATCTCCTGACCTCATGATCCACCCGTCTCGGCCTCCCAAAGTGCTGGGATTACAGGCTTGAGCCACCGCGCCCGGCCTTAAATTTCTATTTTAAAGAACAATATCAAGAAAGAGAAGAATTAGAGTGAAAGCAAAAAGACTTCTCTATAGAATGAAAGAAAATATTTGCAAATCGTGCATCTCATAAGGTTCTAGCATCCAGAATATATCAATAGTTCTTACAGCTCAATAATAGAAAGACAAACCACCCAATTTAAAAATAGGCAAAGGATTTGAATAGACATTCTTCAAAGAAGATCTACAAATACCCAATAAGCCCATGAAAGGATGTTCAACATCATTAGTCATTAAGGAAATGTAAATCAAAACTACAACAAGATACCATTTCACACTCATTAGGATAGCTATCATCGAAAAGATGAACAATAACAAGTGTTGGTCAGTATGTGCAGAAATTGGAACCCTCATGCATTACCGGTGAAGCTGCTTTGGGAAGCAGTTTGGCAGTTCCTCAAAAAGTTAAACATTGAATTACCATGTGACCCAGCAATTCTATTCCTTGGTATATATGCAAAAGGAAAAAAAAGTTCTCACAAAACTTATATGCAAACGTTGGTAGCGGCAATTATTCATAATAGCCAAAAAAACTGAAACAATCAAAATGCCAACCAACTGATGAATGGATAAACAAAATGTGGTTTATCCATACAATATTCCTGAATTTAATATTCAGCAATAAAAAATAATGAAGTACTGACACATGCTACCACATGGGTGAAACTTTAACACATCACGCTAAGTGAAAGAAGCCAGTCACAAAGGATGACATGTTGTATGACTCCATTTCTATGAAATGTCAAGAATGGGTAAATCCATAGAGATATAAAGTAGATTAATGTCTTCCAGGGGTTGGCAGAAGAGGGGAATGGGAAGTGCTTGCTAATGGGAAGGGAGTTTCTTTGTATTTTTTTATCACCTCATAGTAAAGCTTTAATAAACATCAGTTTCCATCCTCCCAGTTCTAGCCAAATTAATTTAATAAAATGCATCTGTATATACAGGTTTTTCCAGCTTTTATTTTAGATTCAAATGGTACGTGTTCAGGTTTGTTACATGGGTATATTGCATGATGCTGAGGTTTGGGATATAGATGATCCCATTACCCAGATAGTGAGAGGTATAGAACCCAATAGGTAGTTTCTCAGGCCACACCTCACTCTAAATTGTATGCTTTAAATGGGTGAACTGTATGGTACATAAATTTTATCTCAGTGAAGCTGTTAACCAAAATAAAAGAGCATAGACCTAATGTAAAGCCTAAAACTACAAATCTTCATAAGAAATATAGGAGAAAATCCTCGTAAGTTTGAATGAGGCAAAGATTTCTTGTATATGACATCCAATAAGAAAAACAAGTGATAAATTGGACCTCATTAAAATTAAGAACTATTATTCTTTCAAAGAAGACACCGTTAAGAGAATGAAAAGAAAAGCCACAGAATGGGGAAAAGTATTTGTAAATGACATATATGGTAAATAATTTATATTCCAAATATATAAAACGATCAAAACTCAGTAATAAGCAAAACAGCCCAATATTTTTTAAAATAGGCAAAAATTGTGAATAGACACTTCCCCAAAGAAGACATAGGGATGGCAAATAACCACATGAAAACAAGGTTCGACATCGTTACTCCTTAGGGAAATGCAAATTAAAATCACAATGAGATAAAATGAGGTATTCTGTACCCCACAAAGACTTGTACAGATATTTCCACAGCAACATTAGTTGTAATAGCCAAAAGCTGGAAAAAATACAAATGCCATCAACAGGTAAAAGAATCAACAAGAAGCGGTATACCCATACAGCGAAATACTACCCAGCAATTAAAAGGAATGAACTACTGATACATGCAACAATGTGGATGAGTCTCAAAGTAATTATAATGAGTTTAAAAGTCAGGCCAAAAATGCATACTGTATAATTTTATTTATTTAAAATTCTAGAAAAAGCAAACTAATCTGTAGTGACAGAAAGCAGAGCGGTGGTTCACTAAGGATGAAATGCATGGGAGAGGTGGGAGGGGCAGGAGGGACAATATCAAGGGATCATAAGGAAACGCTGGGAAGGGATGGATGCTCCGTGACGCCCTGTCCTATCGACCGCCCAAGGGCTGAGGAGTGCAGGTGCCACTGGGGGCTGGTGGGCAGCTCTGCCTGCAGCCCCAGTGCAGGATCCACTAGGTGAAGCCAGCTGGGCTCCTGAGTCTGGTGAGGACTTGGGGAACTTTTACGTCTAGCTAAGGGACTGTAAACGCACCAATCAGCACTCTGTGTCTAGCTCAGGGTTTGTAAATACACCAATTGGTACTCTGTTTCTAGCTAACCTAGAGGGGGCTTGGAGAACTTTTATGTCTAACTGGAGGATTGTAAATGTACCAATCAGTGCTCTGTCAAAACGAACCAATCAGTAAGATGTGGTGGGGCCAGATACGGGAATAAAAGTAGGCTGCCCCAGCCAGCCAGCGGCAACCCGCTGGGTCCCCTTCCACACTGTGGAAAGCTTTGTTCTTTTGCTCTTTGCAATAAATCTTCCTGCTGCTCACTCTTTGGGACCACGCTGCCTTTATGAGCTGTAACAGTCCCTGTAAAGGTCTGCAACTTCACTCCTGAAGCCAGCGAAACCACGAACCCACCAGGAAGAACGAAAAACTCCAGACATGCCGCCTGTAAGAGCTGTGACACGGCGAAGGTCTGCAGCTTCACTCCTGTCAGCAAGACCACGAACCTACCAGGAGGAAGAAGCTCCAGGCACATCTGAACTTCTGAGGAAACTAACTCCGGACACACCGTCTTTAAGAACTGTAACACTCACCGCAAGGGTCCGCGGGTCATTCTTGAAGTCAGCCAGACCAGGAATCCACTAATTCCGGACACAGTGGCGCAGGCCTGTAGTCCCAGCTCCTCATAGGCTGAGGTGGGAGAATTACTTGAACCTGAGAGGCAGAGGTTGCCGTGAGCCAAGATGGCGCCACTGCACTCCAGCCTGGGCAACGGAACGAAACTTCATCTCCAAAAAAAAAAAAAAGAGGGGGAGAGGGAACTCATGCAGCGAGAGCTGTGAGCCAAGACATGGAGGATGGGAACAAGGGGGAGGAACAGAACGGGAGTCCTTCACCGGGGCGGGGTCAGGGCAGGAAGCCGTGAGCGGAGAGGGAGCCCCCAGGTGGCTGTGCTGGGAACTGCTGTATTCACAGGGCAGGGAGGATGACAAGCTCTGGGAGTCCTAGAAAGGGATTTGATTTGCGGTGTTGGGACAGAGAAATGAAGCCATCAGCTGTAGAGCTGCCACATCCCGGTGGGACATTCCACAGGGAGCTGGATCCTGGGATCTGGATGACCAAGGAGAGATGTGGCTGCAGAGCGGGATCTAGGGCTTCCCTGGGAAGAGTATGTTGGCCCAATAGGGGTAGGGGTGGGGTTGGTGGTAGAGAAAAAGAGAGACGCAGGATCTCTCAGAGACAGCCCCAGGAGAGCATGTGAGAATAGAGACAGCATCAAGGTAGGGGCAAAGTAGGGTGACAGCCAGGACCACGAAATCCCCAGAGTTCTTACAGGAACATCTCAGGGCAAGGACCCAGAGCATTGTGTGCCAAGGACTGGTCACCAGGGCTGAAAAGGGAGACACCCTTGGAAGGAAGGAGATGTGCTGGTCCCTACAAGTCTCTGGCATATACATCTCCTCACTGAGTGCTCACTACTCCTTTGTGAGATCAGTGTAATCATCTGCATTGCACAGACAAGAAAACTGAAAATCAGAGATGTTAGGAGACTTCTCCCAAGGCCACAAAGCTTGTATCTCATCCACATCTAGGGGCTCGTGGGCTCTTTTTAGGCACTAGGGTGACCAGAATAAGGTTCACAGGGGCCACCAAGCACCCACTGATGACCTCCAAGGTTACTGTGCACAAGCACATCTGAGGCAGTTAGCATGAAGGAGGGAGCGCAGCTAATTGCCCGTACAAATTAACTCTAATGTGGTCGGCATCGACATACTTATCTTTCTTTAATTACATTAATCAATTAATGAAGAAGATGGCTTCCTCTTATTATGATTTCCAAGGCCCATATGTTCTCGGGAGTCCAGCTGGAGTTGGGCTTCTTCTCTGTCCCTGGCTTGAATAGGGAACTGAGTGGAATCAACAGGAGAAATTGTCCCCCAGGTCTTCTCCGCCCTGAAGCTGATCTTCAGGATGAGAGAGGTAAGAAAACAGAAGCAATGATCCCCGAAAGTGGTAACCAGTGGAAGAGGCCTAAACTCCTTGACTCAGCATTCAAGGCCCTTCTCCAACATTGTTCATTGTTCCTTTGACCCAGGTTTATCAGCCTAGGCAGACTAATTTTCTCTAAGCTGCCCTTGCATCCTCCAGCCTCCAATGCATTCATGCCATTTCCCCTACCAGGAAGACCACCTCCCATCAGTCAGGGTCCAGGTCCGCCCAATGGGTTTGTCACCTCCTCATGAGAACCCTATAGAAGGCCCACCCTGCAATAATCTCCTTCACTTGTTAATTTTTTCGGCTTTATTTAGGTATAATTGACAAATTAAAATTGCATACTTTTAAGGTATATAACTGGATGTTTGATATACATATGCATTATGAAATGATTGCCATAATCAAGCTAATTACCATACCCGTCACCTCACTTGGTTACCATTTTCTTTTCTTTTTTTTCTCTTTTGTGTATGCGTGTGTGGTGAGAACACTCAAGATCTACCCTGCCAGCAAGTTTCAAATATGCAATATATAGCATTGGTCACTATAGTCTCCTGGCTGTACATTAACTCTCCAGAACTTGTTCATCTGGCATAACTGAGACTTGGAACCCCTTAACCAACATCTACCCCCAGCCCCTGGGGGGCCACCATTCTACTCTGCTTCTATGTGTTCGGCTATTTTAGATTCCACATATTAGCGAAATCCTACAGTGTTTGCCTTTCTGTGTCTGACATTTCACTTAGCATAGTGTCTTCCGGGTTCATTCATGTTGTTGGGAATGACAAGATTTTCTTCTTTTATAAGGCTGAATAATAACTCACATTATTACTCCCATTTTCTTTATCCATTTATCTATTGACAGACATTTAGATTGTTTTCATATCTTAACTACTGTGAATATTGGTACAGCCATAATGGAAGACAGTATCGAGGGTCCTCAAAACATTAACAATAGAGCTACCATATGATCCAGTAATCCCACTTCTGGGTGTATATCCAAAGGAAACAAAATCAGTGTTGCAAAGAAATATCCACACTTCCATTCATTCATTTTTCATTTTACAAACATTTACAGTCCCTCCTCTTGTGTAACTTCTAAACCTTCGGGACAGACAGACACTAAACAGACAAATAATTACATAGACTGCTGGTTCTCAGTCCACTAGAATCACCAGGGGAGCTTTTAAAAATATGCTGCTCATGCGGGCACAGTGGCTCACACCTGTAATCCCAGCAATTTGGGAGGCCAGGGCGGGTGGATCACTTGAGGCCAAGAGTTCTAAACCAGCCTGGCCGACGTGGAAAAATCCCATCTTTACTAAAAATACAAAAATTAGCCAGGCATGATGGTGCAAGCCTGTAGTCCCAGCTACTCGGAGGCTTGAACCCAGGAAGCAGAGGTTGCAGTGAGCCGAGATCACACCACTGCACTCCAGTCTGGGTGACAGAGCAAGGCTCTTTCTCAAAACACACACACACACACACACACGCACACACGCGCGCGCGTGCGCACAAGTATGATACTCAAGCTTCATCCCAGAGAAAGCAGAATCTCTGAGGGTGCAAGCCGGGCATCACTAATTTTTTTAATTGCCCAGGTAATACTAGTGTGCAGTATGCGGGGATAAAGGAGGGTAATTGTAAGGAGGGTAATCTGCAATGCTGCCACCCCGGGCTTGCTTTCCCCAGAGGTTTTGAAAAGTATGATCGGTCAATTGTGTTTTTTGTAATTATTTATTTAAATAAGATAAACTTACATTAGCCACCCTGTCTTCCATGTATAAGGAAGTCACAAATCACTTAGATCAGTGCTTCTCGAACTGTAGCAAACATCAGAATCACCTGGAGGGCTTGTTGAACCAGATCACTGGGCCCCACTTTGAGCCCAGGAATTTGCATTTCTTACAAATTCCCAGGTGACACTGATGCTGCTGGTCTGGGAACTCCACTTTGAGAAACACTGAATTGGAGCAAGGTTTAAAGAAATTCAAGTGGTTGAGCACCTTCCTCCCTCACTAAACATCTGCTGTTCACATACTCTGTTTAACCTAACTCTGCTGCTTTCTCACAGGCTGATGTAGAAAGCCTTCGGATCCCCTTTGTTAGGGGAAGAAGCTGTGAAAAATCTTACCTCTCCATCATACATGCGCCTGTTTTCACTGTAGGATGTTTCACAACCACGGTGCTTCAGAGCAGGCAACTTCTCTTCCTTAACTGCCAATTTCACATCACAGCAGTGGCTGTCAGCATCAGCATCACCTGGGCACTTGTTAGACATGCAGATTCCTGGCCTACTCCAGGCCCACTTAATCAGAAACTCTGGGAGTGAAGCCCAGCAGTCTGTGAACTAGAAAATCACACAGGTGATTCTGATAAACCCTCAACTATGAGAACCACTGGCCTAGAGAAAATGTGTTAATTGACCCTTCGAATTCTTCAGGATCCTATTCACTCTGATTATTTGTATCATTTCTTTCATAAAAATAATAATTCGCTTCTATTTGTCAGGTCTTCCTATGTGCCAGGGACTGTGCTAAGTACTTTACATTAAAGATCTTATTTAAACCTTGGAACAACCCAATATTCATTATACTATTCTATAGATAAGGAAACTAGAGCTTGGAGAGGTTGAGAGTTCGGCCCACCTGTTAAGTGACAAACCCAGGAAAACACTGCTGTCTGCCCCACCCTAGTTCATCTTTTCCAAACATTGAGCATTGTATGAAGTCTGTTCTCACACGACTATAAAGAACTACTTGAGACGGGGTAATTTACGAAGAAAAGAGGTTTAATTGACCCAGTTCTGTAGGTTGTACAGGAAGCATGGCTGGGAGACCTCAGAAAACACAATCATGGCCGAAGGTGAAGGGGAGCAAACACGTCTTACCATGACAGAGCAAGAGAAAGAGAGTGCAGGGGGAAGTGCTACACACGTTTAAACAACCAGATCTTATGAGAACTCACTCACTATCACAAGAACAGCAAGGGGGAAATCCACCCGCATGATCCAATCACTTCCCACCAGGTACCTCCCCCAACTTTGGGAATTACAATTCGACATGAGAGTTGGGTGGGGACACAGAGCCAAACCATATCAGGCACCTATCACACCCATATGACTGTGGTTTATACCTCCATTGTAGTGCTTTTCCTCAATCATAAGATTTTTTTAATACCTCACTACTTTTTTCTACCCAAATACCTGCTTTTTAAAACTAGTGTTCGTTTTCTTAAAAAGACTAATTGTTGAAATGCTTTAAAATCATCTGTTTACTGCCCTGACTAACATCATGCATTTTTCTTTTACGAAAATTTTGAAACTCAGTTAAATGTTTAAAATGCAAAGAGCAGACACACAAGTTTCCTTACTGGAATGAAATTTAAATGGAAAGTGGAACTTCACAGGTACAACTACCTTAAAGTCCATATTGCTTAAAAGAGTGGAACTCAAGAGCCAGAAGCCATGACTTGCACTCGAAGTCCCAGCTACTGGGGAGACTGAAACAGGAGGATTGCTTGAGACCAGCTCAAAGCCTCAGTGAACCATGATCATACCACTGCACCCCAGCCTGGGTGACAAAAAAAAGAATGGAACTCAAAGTGAAAAGTATGTGACCTCGAGTCCAAACAGTCATTCTCCAATACATTGGAAGCCTATTACATCTAAAGGCGTTTTAATCAGCCAGTCAACCCGTATCTACCATGTGGATGAAGCGGTCAACATGACTCACCTG